TATGATATATTTAATTGAAATTGCTGTTCGGAACAACCAATGATACATAAAGGAAAATCTTGAAAATGATCAGGGTGCCCAAACTTTTTCATACCACTGTAAATGTACAACAATAATCACCAATAAGAGCACAGACTCCTCCCTTCTCTGCTAGGAGGAAGTCTGATGCCATGCAATTTTGCATAATCATGGTTTTTATAGCACGTTTTTTTAGGATCATTTTTAACAAATTTAGCAAGATGTAGCACAGAAGCAGTAAGATTTTCTAGTGACCAAAAAACATCATTCATCCAATGATATGCAACACCATACACCGGAAAAAGAGTCATAAAGAATCCTCTAATATTACTAATAAGCAGAGGTGCCTTTGTTTCTGTCGTGCTGTGTTTGTAACAGTGGATACCAGTTGAATGTACAAAAGAAATCAAGTTAGCTTTAGGAATTACAACAGAGGCTAGAACAAGTTTAGCTAAATAAGTTCCACACCATTATTCGGGCAACCATAGATAAGTCTTGGAACCACAATTACATACATAATCTGGTGGGCATGGAAATCCAAGCAGTCCTGTGGCCAATGTGCAATGGTTAGCTCTTCTATGTTAGTAAGGTTTGTTCTGTTGGAATACACATTAGGATTACACCACTGTGATCAGTCAGCAACTGGATTCCTGGTCAAATTTGGAAACAGTGCTTTAATTTGTCTCTATTACGAGAAGCAAAGAGTATTATCGCATAATATTTAGCATAGAGGCTGGTCGTGGAGCAGGCATAGGGTTATGGTGTGTATGATGTGGTACAAATGAACAAACATAGCATTCAGTTAAATTATGTGCTGCTGCTGTGAAATTAGCAACCTGAAACCAATGGTTATCTTCATGATCATTGTCTATTCTTATTTGGTATTCCCACCACATAATAGGAAACATAACAATGAATGCGACAAAGGTGAAGAAACATAATGTCCCGCTGAGTCCACACAGTTCTGGTTGCCGGAAGGGATGCCAAGGAGCCATTTCTAATACACACTAGGGGAGGGGTGCCCAAACGGTTCCACGAAGGGCCACTGTGGCTGCAGGGTTTTGTTCCAACCAAGCAGTAGCACACCTGAGTGGACAGGTTTAATCAACTGGTCTCAGTCTTCAGACAGCTGATTGGTCAAACTATGTGCTCTTGGTTGGTTGGAACAAAAACCTGCAGCCACACGGCCCTTTGAGGAACAGTTTGGGCATGCCTGCACTAGTGGGTACTCTCCCCTTTGATTTCTTCACCGGGGTTGAGACGATCACTGTGATAGTGGCAGCTGTGTTCGCTGCATACACCTAATGTATATATCTCCTTTGTAGCCGGACTTCAGCACTATTGTGTCCGTATTTCAGCTTCTTGGGCGCTTAACAGTTTACAGTGGCTTACGTGAATTCAGGAGGGTCATTCAGCAATTCGGACTGAGGTTGGGGTCGTTAGAAGGACCTTGTAGGGGCCGTTCCACCGTGTTTCAGACCACCTTGTTCTCTGTGTATCTTTTAGGAACACCAGGTCGCCAACCTGGATCTTCGCGTCATGTTCAGGTTTCTGTGGGATAGAGAGAGCTTTGGCAGATTCAATCTGTTCTTATCTTTTTGCAGCATTTCTCAAATAACCATGCAAATCATCATTTTTGTCATTTTCTGGTAATGATGCAGTTAGTTGTGGAAAAGTAAATGGTCGGTGAAAGACACATTCAAATGGAGTTAACCCAGTGCTTGAGCTTCTGGTTGAATTTACAATCAATCGTACCATGTCCAAACTCTGTGGCCACGGTTTCCCTGTATCAGCTACTGCTTTAGGAAGTAGTTGTTTTATTGTGCCATTTTTTTCTTTCTACCAATCCAGCACTTTGTGGATGGTAAGCTGCATGTAGTTTATGTGTAATGCTATAATTTGTCAACAGGCTTTTTACACATGCTACTGTAAAATGTATCCCATTATCTGAGTAAATAATTTCTGGGAATCCATATCTTGGAAATATCGCTGTTTTCAAAACTTTACATGTGAACTCAGCATTGGCATTAGCAGTTGGATGGATCTCAGTCCATTTACTGAAATCACAGAGAACGACTAAACAATATTGTTGATTTTATAATTTGTTTAGTTCAATATAGTCCATGTGTAGATGTTTAAAGGGTTCCTTAGGCATCGGAAATGAGCCTTGTTCTTACAGCTGCTTGAGCATTATGTTTTAAGCAGATTATGCACTGTTGTACATGCTTCTGTGCAGCTTTTTGAAAATTTGGACAGTAAAAAACTTGTTATACTGCTCCAATCATCCCTGCTGTTGTCACATGGCACTGCCCATGGGACACGTGCAGCCCAAGAATAGAGGGATGATGGCAGTACCGGTTTACCTGATGAAGTATGAAATAAAATGCCATTTTCAGATTTAGTCATATCAGTAGTAGGTTGCATAAGAGATTGATGTTGTAGAAGAACAGTATTGTAAACCTGATGTGTTGACAATAGATTAAGGACCATATCAGCCACAGGCTGTCTTCTTCTTCTTTTTCTTTCGGCTTTGTCCCTTTTTTTTCAGGGGTTGCCACAGCAGAT